GAGAGAGAGAGAGAGAGAGAGAGAGAGAGAGAGAGAGAGAGAGAGAGAGAGAGAGAGTCAGTCGCTGCGTGGAAGGAAGCTTAAAGCTTGTGAACTCTTCTTGAACCGAGATTGGAGTCATATGGGCCATAAATCATTGAGACATACTCTCCGCCATTCACAAACTGATAGCCTATTTCAGTCCGGCTTACCTTAGCCACCGACGAGGGGAGAACAGGCAGACATAATATATATTCACATCGAGCCTCAGCGCGAGCGGCAGGCGAGAAATCTCCCCTCCTTGAAGGCAAAGGAAAAAAAGACCACTGTTTAAAGCTGCGTCGCCCCCCCTCCCCAAAGCCACCCCGGCTGGGGAGCCCGAGGGGCAGACCGGCCAGAGGAGCCGCGCGGCGTCCGCTTCAATTCACTCGGCTTTGGAGCGGGGGTGCGCAGGAGGGAGGGGTAGGGGAGCGGGGGAAAAAATAGCAGACCAAAAGGGCTGGGAGGCTCGGCTCGCCGAGAATCCAGCTCCGGGCTTCAGCTCGGCCAAGCCGCCACAGTGTGGTTGCCCTAAAGACTGGTACGCCCTACTCTCCGTAACAATGGCCTCTGCTTTTGCACAGGGAAAAAAAAACCACACAGACACACACACACACACAGACACACACACACAGACACACACACAAGCTCACCCCCCCCACACCTCTCCCCCTTTAGCAAGCATAGATGCCTGATAAGGAAAGAAGGTGATTGTGGTGATGAGCGCTGGGGGGGGGGGGCGAGTACCCCTCCCCCAAATAAGAGTGCGAAGCAAAGAAAGTAGAGGGTGGTCTTGTCTTGTTTTGTTTGAAAAACAGGTAAAAATTTTTGCATTAAAGATGGGAGAGGAAGAGAACAAAATGCAGAGAAAGCTGGTGGAGTTCACAGATTGCCCCCCCCCATACACACACACCCGCCCCACTCAGGCCCCACTACTGGACCATTATGCTAATCCGAGAAGTGGCCTCTGGAGACCTAGTCACAGGCTGGCCTGGCTGGGCCAGGGGCGCTGGGTGCCCCTCCTGTGCTCACTCATGGTAGGCACACAGGGACTTTTTTTTTTTTTTTTTTAAGGAGTCTGCTGGCTGACTCTCAGGCCTCTTGCTGAATCTCTCGGTCCCTGATCCTTCTCTCCTCTACATCCTCTCCACCCCAACCCCCTAAATCTCCATGCCCAGTCTCTAATGGGGGAGGGGGCAAGGCCAGGCTTTTTTTCACACTCCCCCCCCCCCCGGGTGTTTTTTTTTTTTCTTTTTAGAACAGACAACTAGCGGTGAGTGATGATTAAAAAACCCAGAACATCTTGCAGAGGGAATAGGGTTGATGGGAGGTTGACAAAAGGAAAGACCCTGTGGTTTCGCTGGAGCTCCAGACAGACGGTCAGGAGAAGGGCTCTGAGAACTTCACGGAGTGATTTCTGTTAAGATTCTCAGCTCGGGACAGGCAGAAGGGGCTAGGAGGTGAGAAGGACATTTGTACTCCTGAGGAGAACTCCAGAAGGGCTTCCTTTTAAATGCACTGGCAGACAGAATGGAAGAAGAAGATGATGATGATGACTACTCAGGGCAAACCTGCTTGTTTCTCCACTCCGACTCTGCTCTGCGTGGCAAGATTTATGACTCTTGGCACAAGTGAAGAAGGCTACAAAAGCTCAAAGTTTTCTTAGGGTGTGTTTGAGCAGGGCAGGCAAAGGCAAGGAGGAGGCCTGTAGGAGGAAGACGGGAGCCAGGAATGTAGGTGTCTGCAAATTTGGGGCAGGGGGTGGGGAGAGAGCCATTGGCGGTGGAGGCGAAAGACAAAAAAGGAGGACAGGCCATTTCTTCAAGCCGAGGGGTTGCAGGCTGCCTAACTGCTGACTCGGGACTTGGGGGCTGACTCAGGAGGCTGCTGCTGGTGTCTCTTTTCTACGTGGACAGACAGCTTGGAAACTGGTTCTCTTAACTTCGGGTAGACACAGCCAGCCAGGACCCTGTGCCGATTTCCTGATTGGGACACTCGGTTCTTGCCATCTGGATGCACCAGGAAAGGCGATGGGCCTGGGGGAACAAAGGTGAGGCGTCTCCCGCTATTGTCCCCCCTCCCGGGGAGCAAGGCTTTAGCAATAGTTCTCTTACCCCCTTCCCCACTCAAAAGCTGTTCTTTAGAAGTGTAAAGGGGGATGCCTCCTGGCTTCCAGCCCCCCCCCCCACTATTTCTAAACCCATCAAATCACTTCAAATTGGCTGCAGCGATTGGTTTTCTGGGGCCTGTTAACACAGAAGGAACCTGTGGCCTTCAGCGACAGGAGTCACATGCAGAACCCTAGGTGTGATACCTGGGATCCATACTGTCTGCCCAGAGTTGGTAGTTCCTTAGCGACTTGGTGGCTGGGCGTAGTAGATGGGAGTTGAGGGGTTAAGTGGAGAAGGTGGAAGCCAATTTGCTGTTTTATTAATAGTCTCAAGGGGAAAAAATGTTGAAGTGTTGGGGCTCAAGCCAGGAGCCTCCTGAGGAACTGTTTTGGTACCCAACAACTCTGGTAAGAGATCTGAAGGGTAAGATGCCAAAGGATTTTAGGCCTCATGGGTCAGCAGCTCAGGCCAAGGGCTTCCAGAGGTTTCAGGAAACTTAGACAACTAACTCTTTTCTCTAGTTCTCTAAAATAAAAAAAGTTTTTTAAAATGTACTTCAGACTCTCCAGCTGGTCTAAAAGTTCCCACCACTGGCTAGGGGTGGTAATTATGAAACTGAGAAGAGTATCTGGTCATCTTCCAGACTGCACAAACTCTGTCTGAAGGAATAAGCAAAGAGCCTACGTGTGACCTAGCCACTGCAGCCCCGAGAGGAGCTGCTCTGGGAAAGTGCTCCAGAGTGAGCAAAAGACCCTCTCTGCCCAAGCCTTCTTCCTCCCTTGTGGGTGAAGAGAGGCACCCACCGGGGAGGGGATGGGAGCGAAAGGGGGGGCTGGGGATCCAGGAACAGAGCTGGGAGAAAGTTCCAGAGGATATGCACCCCCAAGTGGGGTAGGGGCGAGATCTAAGGTTTCCTGATCAATTCTTGAAAACAGCACCCATTTGAAATACTCGGGAGACAACTGGGGCCTCCTTTGGTTTCTAGCTTGCCTTTTTTTCTGGGCCACAGGGAGCTGCTCCATGAAGCTGGGGGGTGGCAGGGTACCGAGGAGGACCAGCAGCTATGAGAGGCTTCTTGTGGTCAGAAAGATTAGGAGTCTTTTCAAATTTAAGAAACAAAGGGAGGGTAAAGAGCTTGAGGACCTCAGAAGGGTCTGGAAGTAGTCTCTGACAGAAGGCAAGTAGGAGAGCCGGCCTGACTTAGGGGTAGTTAGAGACAGACCAGTTTTCTTCTGGAGTCAGAGAACTTCGTAACTTTGTCGGGGGAGGGGAAAAGAAAGAGGAAAGAGGGAAAGTGAAAAAAAATAAGAGACAGACAGCTAATATGAACTAATAAAGGCAAAAATTAATAGTAAGTGTAAAAAACAAACAAACAAAAAACCGGAGGAAAACATCCCCCTTCGCAGACATCCTTTCTCTCGGTAGAGACAGAGTGAGAGTTCTGGCCCTCCCTTCCCGGACTTCTCCTAGGTACTCAGGAATGGGTGAGCAGGAGCACTCACTGTAAGCAACCTTTGAGTGGTCAGTCACTGGCTGCCCACCCTTGTGAACCTCAGTGCAATTATCCCTACCCCCCCAAAAAAATCCATCAAAGAGTAAACAAAAATTATCTCAGGAAGGGCAAATAGGGCTGGCTCCTTTAAAACCAATTTCTGCTCTGAGTCTTCTGGTGACCCAGGGTCCCGATCTCAGCTTAAACAGAGGAAAACTTCTCAGGCCCTCTGGACCTGCTGGAAATGTGGCTGGTGTTTAGCAATTTACTCTTTGCTCACGCTTATCTGGGTTCCCTGTCCCACGCTCTTTTCTAGTGTGGCCGGCCAACTTGGTGGCAGCCACCGAGTACTGTAAAGTTCATGCACATCTCCATCTCCTCTTAACTATTAATAAAGACTTCAAAGCTTAAATGTTTGTAAAAGGAGAGTATCGTTAATGAAGATGACTTTGTAGACTAGTCCCTCGTCCCTGGCTCTCTAAAAATGCTTGAGTGGGAAGGAACAAAGGAAGGAGAGGATCTGAGCACTTTCCCCAAGGCGGGTATAGACGCAGCTGATGATAACTCCAGGAAGGAGGAGAGAAGGCCCTTCCCAATGAGAGAAGAAAAGAAAATCCAGGCTGTGCCACCCCACGCCTGCCTCAGGAGAAGAGGGGTAAGGCAGAAAGACTACAAGGACCTATGAGGTCTCCTGGGTGCCTGTGGAAGCCCCCTGAACCTAATAATGATGGGCCCACAATCCTGGGGTGACATCAGCAGCAAGCAGGCTCTTTGGTAATGAAAGATCTGTTTCTGACTCAGGGACATCTAGAAGCTCAGCCCTGGCAAACCCCACCCCTACCCAGTGTGGAGACAAAGGTAGGCAGGGTGGAGAGGCAGAGGGGAGAAGGGGGAGAGACTTGTGAATCCTGGACAGCTGGGGGAGGGAAGGGGGGAGGGAAGGGGGGAGATGGTAGCAAGACTGGCCGAAGGGCTCAGTCCACTTCGTGGGGCTGGCAGGCAGGGTCTCTCCTGACAGATTGGATGTCTCTCTCCCAGTGACCTCTGTTTAGCAGACAATAACTCACTGGATTAATGGCCAATCAGTGGAAGGCCTCCAAATATAAAATGCCAAAGTCAGAATGGGACAGGGCCAGAGTCTGGGTCTGGCAGTCATATATATATATATGACTTTCATGACTTTCTCTCTTAAAATAGGTTTGGAGTGGGTTATCTGACCAGTGCTTAGGATTTCTAAAGATGAAATTTGTTGTCTATCTCTCTCCATTTCCTGCCTCAGAGTTGATATCCCAAGCCATACTTCCCTGGGTACCCCAGAACTCTCCTCAACTCTTGCACCCTCCTTATAGCCTGTATCCCACAGGAAATTGCCCTTCACACAGCTGTGCATCCGAGAAGCCACTGCCTTCAAGCTGTATGTCTCTGCAGTTGGAAGAAGAGAAGGAAAACAGAGCAAAAACCAAGTAGGGAGCTTTCCCTTGCTGGCCTCTGTCCTCATCACCCTGGAAGGACAGTCAGCATGGTGCTAGGACCAACTGCACAAGCCTCTCCCAGATACAGAAGGTCTAAGTGTCCAGGGGTCAGAGGTGAATCTGTGAGGAAGCTGCACCTGTTTTCACAAATTCTAAACTGTAAACCCACAATGATTCAGGTCCAGGGCTAGGGTGAGAGGAGGAACCTCAGAACTCCAAAACACTGAATTCTGGACAATTCCAGCCTTGGCTTAGCATCTGACACGAAAGGAGTCTTGTTTGGTGAAGCTAACCCCATCTGCCCATCTGCCTTAGACCCTGTGCCAATCCTAGCTCAATCCAACTACCTAGCCTTCTATTGCCACTGCTCTTGACCTGGCCTTCCGTTCTGTGGAGAACAGGGACTCCTTGAAAAGACAATCCAGAGAACTTATTTTCCAGAGGTACAAGCAAAGACAAACTCAGAATTTTGCAGACACACCCTGCAGTAACTTCTACACTCAGATGCCCACAGAACTCCAGGACATACACGAAGTTGCTCCTAAGTGGTATCCCATAAAGGATGGAGATACAGAGGGGTACCCAAGAGCAGACTGGACTTGGGGCGTCCAGTCCAACTCTGCCATGGTAGCAGATAGGGAAAGTGAGGCCCAGAGTGGAAAATAAATTGATCTTGAGTTATGTTTGCCACACAGTCTTAAGCACTGGGAGACTCAGACTTTAGTCATCGAAGCTTGGCTGTGTGACTTGAAGCAGAGTACGCCTTGGGCCTCAGTGTGCTCCTCTTTAAATGCAAGGTATTTACGGAGGAGGAGGAGGATTAAGCTAAATGATCTCCAAGGTTCTCTTTCAGGCTGAACATTAGTAATTCTCTGTGTTGTGTAAATATGTAAATATGAGTAACAATAAGCAATAATAAACTGAGTTCAGACAATAAATGTACCAGCGCCATTGTTATCAGATGCAAAATACTTCCTCTTGGGATTTACATGTTTATTCTCCTACCACTGAGCACACACCCCGGTTTTGGTCCTCTCTAGCCCACAGAAATACTGCATCTCACTGCTCCTCTTCTGGTGGAGGATGGGCTGTGTTCTACCCTCGTTACCAAATCAAAAGTGCTATTTTTGGACACAACAATCTGAGCAGTAAATAATTAATTTGTATAATTAGAGGAGGAAGGCTTCAACCTGGCAATTTTTAACCAGGCATCAATGAGCCCATTGTACCAGCCTGGCCTTCTCACCCCATACCCCCACCTCTGCCCATACACCTACCAGCTTCCCCTGTTGGTGCCCCCCCCTCCCAGCTGACAACCAGCATTTCCAGGATGGTCAATGAGTTGGGGGCTGCTTCAGAGCCAGAATTTGCTCCCATCCCAACAAAGTTCCTTTCTCTGCTGTGTTTCCCCCAGAGATCCATCTGCAGGCAGCTGGCCCTCCAAGCCCGGCTCTCTCCACACCCGCCCCAAGCTGCACCGGGCTCCAGGTCGAGCTCCCAGCCCTTGAGAAACATGTAATCTACCTTCTCAGCTCAAGATGCCCCAACAATGCAGTGGGTTTGCATTTCAAGAAACTCCCATTAATATCAATTTACTTCACTGAAACCTCGGGTTCTTCATCAAGTTGATGATTTATGATAAAATCAATTAAATTACGGCCACTTAGGGCCCAGCCGCTTCCTCTCAGATTTCATTGGTTCGGGCCCAAGTGTCTGGTGGAAAAATGCAAGTTTAGCTGGAGGCGAGGAAAGATAATTCTGTGGCTGAGAAAATTTAATGCAAAACAATTTGCAGGCAAAGCCGGTGTCTGGACAGAGACACAAGAGCCACTAGTTGGCCTGCGGAAATAACTATCTAGGGTCAAAATGTTTTTCTCCCCACCCCCACCATCCTGCATGGTTCCTGCTTTTTGATCGTGGTCATTTGACCACCCACCCCCCCAACAGAGATTGGAAAAGTGTTCACAGTAATAGTAGGATCCAACCCTTCCCAGAGCCAGACTCCAATCACCCCCGACTCCATTCCCCTTACTATACCATGTCTCCCCACACCCCTTCACCCAACAAAATTTGCTCAATTCTTAGTGTCCCACTACAAAGTTAGAGATCCAAAGTGAAGATGCGCCAGCGTGGGTGTGGGCAGGCAGTACATAAGGAGAGGAAGAGGAGCAGTGGCCAGAGGCCTGGACTGGCAGGCTGTGCTGCCTGTGAAAGAAAGGCTGGGCAGGAGAAGCAGTACCTCCTGGACAACTTAAAGGGACAGTGAATGGTATCCAAAGCTACCCCATCCCAAAGTACCAGGAGCAGAGGACACCCAGTCTCCCTCCTGGCTCCCTGTTCCACTCTCACAAATTGATTCTACGTAACTGTAACACATCCAAGCAAATTGCAGTCAGAGCATATATATACATACATACATACATACATACATTATATATATGTATATGTATATATATTCCAGTGTGCAGACCCACTCCCACAATACATGAACACATCTCCACAAGTGTGTGCCTGCACACTCCTTATGCCTCACAGAAGCACCACACCCTTTGCCTGTAAAGAGGTGATGCCTAGGGTCTCCTCACATCTGAGAAAATAAATCCCAATGCATCAGCCTGGCATCGCCTCCCACTCCAAGGAAAAGGGCTTCTCCCGCCTCTTCTCTGTTTGGTTTTTGGTTTCCAGAGCAGGCAGATAGTAAACACAGCTTCTCCGAAAGCCATAAATCAAGCCCTCTCCTACCTTCTCAGCTTAACACCCAGCCTCAGCGAAAGCCCTTGTAATTTCAGCTTCAAATAACTCCTAGGTGCTAAAGGGCTGGACCACGGTGGCAGCTGGACTGTGGGAGCCAGGCCCAGCCTCACATATCTCTCACCACCCACAGCTCCCACCCCCACCCCCTAGAAAACCCTCCAAAATCTCTATCCATCCTGAACCTGAGAGTTCCTCAAATCCTGGTGGGATCTTGTCTACCCACAGGTACACTTCCACATTCCTTTACATTCGCCCTACACACTAGGGCCCTGGACCACACTCTCTGTCCCACGACACCTCCTCTACGTTGCTCTGATCTTTGTCTCGAATTCAGATGCTGACTGGGGACAGGGGGTATCCTCGTGCCCCTCTCCACACCCACGGGTCGCAGGGCGCTGGACTGAACACCGCTCACTTACCTGTGCGGTCTCAGACTAGGGTGCGGGCTGCGGCGGGCAGCCGGGTGCGGAGAACAGGCGGGAGCTGATGGCTAGCCCCGGGACCCTCGGTCCCGGCTGGGGATGCGCCTGGGCCCTCCACATCCTGGCCGCTCGGCCCGGGGAGCACCCCGCCGTGCTGGGGTGGGGGTAGAGGCCAGCCCGCGCCCCGCCCCCGCCCCCGGCTTTGTTCCGCTCCCAGGGCCGGGCCGCCCGGCTCCTGCTTAGGGATGCTCGGGATGCGGCGGGCGGGCCGCGGTCCCAGCAAGGCCCTCGCCGGGCTGCGGGAATCCCAGGCCAGTGCGGGACCCGACCTGAGAGTTGACCGAGTCGCCGGGCAAAAGGAGTGGCGACTGACAGGGCCACGGAGAGGCGCGGGGTCCTCGGGGGCGCCATGGCGGAAGGCGGGCGCACCGGCGGCTCTTCAATGTCACCAGCGAAATGGGTTCCATATGTCGGACCCGAAAGAGAAGGGAGGGAAAGGGAGACGGTCCTGGGCAGGGCAGGAGGGGGTGGGGTACTGTGCAGGAAGGAGAGCCTGGGCTACAGAGGTACTGGGAAGGACTGGGGGGCCAAAAAAGATGGCTGGCTTGCTTGCTTGCTTTTCCATTTCCCTTTCAGGCTTTCTGAAGCCCCTTAGGCTGGTAGGAACTGCCCCCCCTTTTCTTTTTCTTTCCTGAAAGATGGGGGAGGGAGGAGATCAGAAAAGGAAACATCCGTTTGTTAAATTAGAGGCTTAAGGAAAGAGGTGTGGATTGGAGGTGAAAGTTCTTGTAAAATCAACTCCTCCTTGGCTTCGGAAGAGAGTTTTTTTTTTAAAAAAAAAGACACAAAATCCACATTCACAGGAGGGAAGAGAAGCTGAGGAAGGAGGATTCTTCACCCCGGGTTTCAGAGCCTTGTTCCAATCTCCCCTCGTGGAAGGCATTTGTTTCAGGAAAGATCCCAATGATTAAGGTACCAATGGTGGATGGAGGAGACTAGAGTGTCCAGAACATCTTGGCCATCCCCTGACGTGTTAGATTGTATCCCAGACACACTCGGTTTAGGGCCTACTCTATAGGCAGTAGTTTCTAAGCCGGTCTCAGCATTGACAACTTCCTGTAAAGAAGGCTTCAATGTACTAGGGTTGGAGAATGGCTCCTGGTGTCTGGAGGAGTCTGGTTTCCAGAGGGTTTAGGCTCCTCTCCTCTCCCGTGTGTGTGTGTGTGTGTGTGTGTGTGTGTGTGTGTGTGTGTGTGTGTGTGTGTGTGTGTGTGACACCTCTGCTGTCGCCTCCATCCCTTTCTCACAAGCCCTTTTGTCTTCTCACACCCTGCCTCTCTCAGCGAATCTGAATTGCGCCCTGGGAAGGACTTTGGAGAATCTCCAGGAATCACTTCTGAGCTTTCTGCGGAGGCCCCTCTCCTCATCTTGGGGTCCTTTCCTCTGTGGCAGAGTCTACTCTGTCTCTGGGAGTCTCAACTAGAGAGAAGAGGGTGGGATGGACAGCTTCCTTCCCACCTCTTTCATTTAACTGTGTTGTGTTGTGCGTGCCTAGAAGTTGGTCCTTCCAGGACCATCTCTTTTCCCTAAGGCTGGCCTTTGTCTCCTCACTTCCCATCACCTTGTCCTTGAGTTCAGCCTTGACTTCCCACCCAAAAGGGAGCCTGCTGTTCTCTCTCTCTCTCTCTCTCTCTCTCTCTCTCTCTCTCTCTCTCTCTCCCTCCCTCCCTCCCTTCTCATTCTCTCACTCATCTTTCTATCCAACTCATCTGATCATTAAAACGTTAGCAGCCCAGCATCCTGGCATCTTAAAGGCACAGTGATAGATGCTACCACTGTACAGAGAAAGAGGACAGGACGTGAGCCCATGCTGGGGGAAAGACCAGATCAGCAACTTTACTAGAGTCCCCGTCCACCAAATACATGTTACTGTGTCCCTAGGTGGCATAAAAGCAGATGGGGGGGGGGGGGCAGGGGATTCGGGATAGAAGAGACACGGTGCTTCAAGGCTAAATGAAGCAAATACATACATACAACAACACAGTCTTCTCAAACTTGCTGATTTGGGGAAAGGCCTAGATGCCTAAGTGGGGAATGCCAGGCCTCACACAAGGGGGTTTAAGAGAGGCCTGAAAGATAATAGTAATAAAGGGTGGTCTCTTTGTTTTGTCTCCTGGGGAAGTCTGTATGAGAGTTGGGGGGAGGGGTATCGGTGCCATCTCCTTTCCCCAGGGCCAGAGGAGACAAAGGCAAGTCATAAGAGAGAAGAAAATGCTGGGGAGGGGGTGCAGATCTCATAGGGAAAGGTGGCAAGGGGGAAAGTGGGGGACCAGCAGAAGAGGAGCTGGAAACATGGGGGTAGGGGCTCATAGGACCAGCCGCCAGCAGCCTCCTCTTAGCTGTGATCTGCTCCCCCAAATAGAAGGCTTCCCACTTCTGTTCTTTATCCTCTAAGACAGGCTGAGTTTGGAAGCTGGCGCAACTGAAGCTCTACCCTCTTTCCTTCTTATTCGTCCCCCTTTTAAGGAGAAAGGGACAGATCTTACTCCCTCTTAGAGACCCCAAGATTTTGACCTAAATTCTGGGCCACCAAGTGAGGGTAAATATACCTTCTTCACCGTTACACATGAACGTGTAAAAACACACACTAGTTGAAAAGTAAAAATGCTTGCCTCTCACACTGGGGTTCCCTAACACTTAAGTGTAGGTGGAGAATGGAACTAAAAGGCTTGGGGGTCCCAACTCCTAAATACTTCTCCCAAACATTCTCTCTCCCCACAATCGCTAGCCCTGTTGAGTTTCCTTTGAATCCAGACTGTTCCCAGTTCCTTTTATCCGGATAAGCACACCCCAGCCTCGGTTCTTTGCTTTCTTCTTTCCAGATCTCTTTCTACCCAGACTCCAATTGGGAGGCTTGACCCACCAGCCACTCACCCTCAAATCTCCTGTTAACCAGGAGGGACAAGGGGCTCAACCATCAGAGCAAAGTGTAGAGTAAGTTCCTGGACACTGCATGAGCTGGGGTCCATGTTGCCGCTCTGTGAGGCTGATGCCATGAATAATTAACACCTGTACAGCATCACTCTAATTTTCCTGCTCAAAGGTTTACACTAGCAGGCAGAGTTAAATATCACAGATAATAGTGACTATAAAGTCAGCTAGCCTGACTCCAGCCAGGAAAGAGCAGCTGGCAGGCTGGACCACTTGGCAGAGGCTCTGCATCTTATCCATCACAAGTTTGGGACATAGTACAGGGTGTCCCCAAGAAGCCACATCTGAGCTGGCCAGTGGTGGTGCAGGCCTTTAATCTCAGCACTTGGGAGGCAGAGGCAGGTGAATCTCTGTGAGTTCGAGGCCAGCCTGGTCTACAGAG